AAGACTCCAAACCCAAAACAGTTAAATGAAACTCCTAGAAACTGTAAAGATAAAATAAATGGGTACATGAACTATGCAGGCACATGAACTATGCATGTACATGACTAAAAATAGGAGATTAATAAATCAAGTTTATTTTTCCAAGACCCCCTCTTAAACTTGATCACCTCTAGTCACTCCAATCCAAGCACGCAGTCTTGCAAAATCTTCAAACTTCAGTGCCTTGGTGAAAATATCTGCAATTTGATCATTAGTCTTCACATAGGCAAGCTTTACATCTTTCCTCTCAATGCACTCCCTTATGAAGTGATATCTGGTGTCTATATGCTTGCTTCTATCATGAAACATTGGATTCTTTCCCAAAGCAATAGTTGACTTGTTATCTATGTAAATGGTTGTAGCTTCATCTTGAGGTATGCGCAGCATCTCCAACAACTTCCTTAGCCAAATTGCATGACAGACACATGATGCAGCAGAAACAAATTCAGCTTCACAAGTAGAGAGAGTTACAATGGTTGCTTTTTTGAACACCAAGTGAAAGCAGTGTCACCCAAGAAAAATAGAAAGCCGGTGGTGCTTTTCCGATCATCAACATCACCACCCCAGTCACTATCACTGTAGCCATAGAGTTGGAAATTTGTGGAAAAAGAATAAGTTAGGCCATAATCAACAGTACCTTTGATATATCAAAGTACTCTCTTGGCCATCTTCATGTGTGTTGAAGTAGGTGCCTCCATGTATCAACTCACAAGACCAACACCATAGAGAATGTTTGGCCTTGTGCAAGTCAAATATCTCAGATTTCCAACAAGGCTTCTATATAAAGAGGGATCCACCTTTGTACTTTCATCGTACTTCGACAATCGAGTTCCACAAGCAATGGGGGTGCTTACCGGCTTGCAATTTGCCATTTCAAATTTCTCCAGAACTTTCTTTGCATAAGCTTCTTGAGAAATAAAAATCCCATCTTCATTTTGCTTTACCTCAATTCCAAGGTAGTAGCACATGAGACCAATGTCGGTCATCTCAAATTCTTGAGTCATTGCCTTCTTAAATTCTTCAAACATGTTTGCATTATTGCCTGTGAAGATCAAGTCATCAACATACAAGCACACTAGCATAAAGCCTCTAGTTTTGTCTTCTTTGACATAAAGAGCATGTTCATGTGGACATTTGGTGAAGGCATGGTCTTGGAAATATTTGTCAATGCGGCTATACCATGCCCTTGGCGCTTGCTTCAAGCCATACAACGCCTTCTTCAATTTCAAGACTCTATCTTCATGTCCCTTGACAACATATCCCAATGGTTGTTGAACATACACTTCCTCTTCAAGATAGCCATTCAAGAAAGCGAACTTAACGTCCATTTGATAAATTTTCCACTTGTTTTGAGCTACCAAGGAGATGATCAACCGAATGGTTTCCAAGCGAGCAACAGGGGCAAAAACCTCATCATAGTCAATGCCATATTCCTGGATATAACCCTTTGCAACAAGCCTTGCCTTATATTTCTCCACTTTCCCTTGAGCATTTTTCTTCACTTTGTACACCCACTTCACACCAATTGCCTTTTGCCCTTTCGGAAGAGTCACGAGCTCCCATGTGCCATTCTTTTGGATTGCTTTAATCTCTTCATCCATTGCATGCTTCCATTTCTTGTCTACTGCTGCCTCTTCGAAATTTAACGGTTCGATGTCAACAAAGAGACAAAAGAAACTTGGATTATCAACCACCTCAGTTTCTTCATAAATATCAGCAAGATTTTTTTGTACGAAGTGGCCCTTCAGAAGAACAATCCTCAAGTGATTGAGATCCATGAGGAGAGTGAGGTGGAGTAGCAACATCTTGCCGTGTGTCTTGTCTGGATTCTCCTTCTTGCAAAGGAAAGATAACATATTCTTCATTTTGAGAGACATTCCAATCCCATGAGCTTCCTTCATCAAACTTAGCATCTCTACTGATTACAATCTTCCCATTGGATGGATTGTAGAACTTTTAGCCTTTGGAGCTTGAATCATAGCCGATGAAGACAAATTTCTCACTTTTTCCATCAAGCTTTGATCTCTTCTCATCTGGAACATGAATAAAAGCAATACTTCCAAAAACACGAAGGTGAGAAACATTAGGCTTCTTACT